GATRRTRRTKRWWGAASAAGCTTGTGATGAAAATGAAGACAGTGAGTGCAATGTTGTAATAGTAATGTGCAGAAACAAAGCRCATCATGCTTTGGGGGGAGGAGCTAGTATCACTTTGAGCACTATCAAGTATCATATATTTCATTACTGTGGTGCTGGTGGCAAGCTACCTCCTTAAAAAATGCGTCATGCCTCCATTGCTCTCATCAATTTGATTATCTCAGTCTTGATGGTTTTAGAGAGGAGAGTCAAATTTGGGCTAAGTATTTGATTTTCAGAAAAAAAGATAAACCAATTCCATTTGCAATGCAGGTTCAATATATTGCTGGTTCTTCTGCAGATGGTGGTGGACAAAATATCACCCACACTTGAGCTATGGGCAGAGAAGTCTTTTTTTATCAAATTCTCACCCAAGAGATCAATTGTGCTGTGGAAGCTACAGAAAAGAATGTGCACTACTGAAAGTATGAAAAATATTGCACACAGTGCATTGTTCTTGAATTTTCAATATGATAATGACCAACGAAATATATTTGCATACTTTGCAAAGCATTGTGGTTGGACTTTTTCTGTCACATTCAAAGCAGCATTGGGGGTGGACTTTTTCTGTCACAGGAGGGATGACTGGAACAGCAGCACTTACTAGAATATTGTAAGGACAGGGACACCACCCAGGAACAGAAATTGATCTCTTGGTGCACACAGTTGGCACCATTTGCCAGCAATGTCATTGTGCTAATGGAGGACRGACCCCCCTAACAGCATTTTATGCTGTGTTTGACAATGAGTCTGACACTATAGCTGTCAAACTTCTGCAGGAGATGGTGATGCTGGTGGATGAGACAAATTGCTGTCATAGGTTGTCACAGTGCCATTCWGATTGTGGGGAATTGYAGTGAGCTRGGTCCCAGTTTCCTGGGCRGCATTGTTTCATTGTTCTGCAATTTTCCAGGCAGTGGTACTTCTGACACTCTTRCAGAATACCTTGAGCATGTATGCAGTATACCTGTGAGTCCAACTCCTTTGACTCCCAATGAGATTCAATGAGGTCCATTGAGGCAACAACAAACATGCTGTAGTAGTGGCCTTGGGTGTTGGATGTTGGATGTTGGATCTGGAACTCTCAGGCCAGATTACTTTGCTGGATATGCAAGAAGATTCTTGCTTAGTTCTGCTGCTGCCTCAATCATAGTATCTCCAAGCAGTWCTGGAAAGGAGATAAAATTAGGGACCACACCATGCTGCATAAATCCACTCTGTCTGAAGAGGCCTTGCCAGGCCTGCAAAAGCAGTCAGTAKATATTTGTGAGCCACACCAGCCAACAACAAACRAACCCCTTTGACCTATTTCTTGATCTGAGGCTTGCTGRTTGAAGCATCTCTTGGTGCCAATGAAGCATCAAATGCAGCAATGGCCATYAAGGAACTTGAAAAMTCTTTTTTGTGGGCGTCTYAGGACAATTTACAGAGGGCTGGGTGRCCAATGAAGACACTCTTTGAGAGCYCTGGAAAATGCTTTGGAAAATGTCCATWGRCAGGGCCAAGCTGTGATGGAAGTAGCTTCATTGTTCCRACAATCTATGATACCTGTCTTTGYGTAGCTGCATYATGAGCATACCAGGGCTAGGTTATGTCAGGATATGTGCTTTGCAAGATTTTCACAAGGGGAAAGAAGTATATTCAGGATCCTTATTAAAAACTGGTATAGACAGGCTGGTCAAAAATTATTATTAGCATTTTTGATAAAGTTATTACAAGTAATTGAAAGTGAATAGTTTTACCAGTGATATTATGCAGTAAAAAGGAGATCGAAGAAAATCCACACGGGGCTTGCCTTTTTTGAAACTTAGGACACTGCATGTGGAATATGAGTTTTTAATTCTTGTGTGCCCCTGTAAAATTTAACCCCTGGTAAAAAATGCTGTTGCAGCAGGAGGTGTGACTACAACAGCAAAAGTTAGTACTACTAGTAGTAGTATCAAGAAGAATGGCAAGACAACACATAAAAGATCAAAGGAGTATCTCAACTCACAATTATGTGACAACAAAATATGATATAATTTCTCTACTACTAGCAATTCAAGAACTCAGACCAGGGTGAGGAGACCGCCCCCTCCTGCTTCCTCTTGTCATTTTTCTTTTCAATGTTTCAAGAGAGAGAGAGAAAACTGTAATCAGATCACTTTTGTTGAACTTTAAACAAGCAATAGGTTTAAAAATGATGTAACTTGGGAGAAGCTTCTTGTTCTTGATAATTTTTGGACAAATTTATTGAACAAAAAGACAATATTAAAACAATCAATTCACAGGTTGTCACACCTTGAAATGAACTCTTGAAGGATTATGATAATGCTTCTTCCTTATGCAACATAGAAGAAGAATATCATACAGACAAGTGGTGTACTACTACTATAGTTAAAAGTGAAATTAAAGAAGGAATTTTTTCCAAGTTTCTCAAAACAAGAAGAACACACTCAAAAAACACTTGAAGAAAGACAAATCTTCTTAGATCTCACCATTGTAATCAAAGTTTCAGTTAATGAGGAAACAAACAGGTGTAAATGAAAATGAAAATGATTATTTTGGTATCAATCTAAAGTGTCAACACACTGCATTCATATTATATCTACTAGTGTTAGTAATGCTTGTTACAGTGTTGATATATTTACTAGCGTGTTTATATTCCCTGCTGTAGATGTCAGTACTACTATTGATCTACAGCTTTCTGCTCTTGCAACAACAGTGTCATGTAGGTATTCTCAATTGTCATATACTAGTATTCTCAGATCTCAAGATGGGTATTCTTGATGCCATGTGGATTGTATGTAGTAAGTAGTACAGCATAGTAGTAGATTCATACCTACTATATACCTAGGTCCACAGACCTGCTGTCCAAGGCTCACTACTGGTATCCTATGACTGCATTTGTTGCATTCAGACTTCAAATAATACTGAAGTATCATGCCAGCTCTCTAGAAATCTTGCTTCCTACTACTAGTAGTACTAGTAGTGATGCCTGCTTCATCACCAGATGCTGATATTGGAAGTTGGAACCAGATCTAGTAAAAAGGATCAATCCAATGCTTAAGACATAGTATCATTGTGTTAGACCACATGTAATGATCAGCAGTGGCAACATCATAAATCCTGGAAAATCTAAAACAAATGAAACTATGATGTGAATGGTCAAGTCTGCAAACCCAAAAAAGAGGTACCAGGATTGTATTGATTGATATTTTGTTCAGTTTGTTTAAGCTGGTGGTGCAAGAAGGTTGAATAGATAGAGCAGGTGGTCCTTCTTGAAGAAGAAGAAGAGTAAAAAAAGTGATGACTTAAAATGATACTGCTAGTAGTAGAAAACTTTGCTAGTGCTACTAGTACCCCACTAGTAGTAGCTACATCTTGTTATGTCCTAAAGAATATAAGTATGAATTGTAAGAAAACAGGAAGTGTCAAAGGAATACAGTTCAATCAATTTCCAATTAACATTCTTGCCAAAGCAAGAACAAGAGTTGTCCACAAAATTGTAGTACAGGGAACAACTCAAGATCTTTGAAACTATGTTGATTTCAACACCATGGTCTTGTTGTTGTTGCACAAGCAATCGGATGATGGCTGATGTTGGCCTTTTTGCAAGCAGAATATAATGACCACTTGTTCTTCTTCTACTAGTATTTGTTACTCTGCCTGGTGCTGCACCACTACAAAAAGAAGAATCAACAACAAGAAGAAGAGGAATGCAGACAAAGAAGAAGAACAACAATCAGCAACAAGAGGAAGAGGAAGAAAATGGTGCCACCAAGAAACATTCCTTGCAAAAACAACAAGAAGAAATCAATGGATTCCATTCATATGTTTGAAACAACAAACATCAGCTAGAGTGGTTTTGAGTTTTTCATTCTGGTCATTTCATTCTGTTCACAGTACTTTCCCCCCTTTGGCATTCACTTTTTGATTGCACTGAGCTCTACTAGTAGTAGCACCCCAATGATCTATCCAGGTCCGGTTGGTCTGTCATGCGATGCGATGATGGGAGAAAGGTACCGTACTATTTGTACAGGGCGTACAAGTACCGAACTCGTTGTGATGTGTACCGTAGGTGTGAAACGAATATGATGATGATCGTAATTGGTAATTGTGCTACCGGTAACGAGTGCTCGTATTTGTATTCGTCTCTCCTACTCCTTGCTCGTCCAAACTCCAAACTTTTATGAAACAGTACTCGTACTTACCTACCGGTCCGAGTTTTCGTCGCTGTGCAACGTATTCAAGGATCCCAACGAGGAAACGGAAGGAAAAGAAAGCAAGAAACAAAGAGCTGTCGCGATAGAAACGAAAGCACTACCTGTACAAACAAGAGGGAAAGATATCGTACAACCAGATCGAGATGACGCCGCCGTTTTTCAATACGCATGCCAGGGCTTGCGCTGTGGTTTTGGCCTCGTCGAAGGGCGGAAGCCTCTTGCCCATGACAAAGGACAGGCCAAAGCATCTGTTGCCGGTGGCGGGTTTGCCATCGATCGTAAGGCTCCTTGAATCGATGTCGGCGTTTTCACAGATCGTGATCGCCGTGGAAGAGGGCGACAACAAGACCCTGCCGACGTTACTGGGAACCGACAGCAATACAGACAAAGCCGTGGCATCCCTCGTCGAGGGACCACCGGAGCAGCAGTCGTTGGTGAGGACGGCGTCCAACAACGATGCTTGCCCAGCCCTTTGCTGGGAACTCAAATCGGAATTGAAGCGGGGGCAAAGAATACACCTGGTCAAGTTGTCAGAAAACTGCAACGGTTCCATCGATGCGCTCCGGACCATCGAGGAAACCAAATTGATTCATCCCGAAACCCGGCTGGTTGTCTTTCCGGGAGATTTGGTCATCCTGAAGAAAGACACCAAGTTTTTCGACGCGTTGATACGGCCGGCCTCCGCAGACGTAGCATGCACGGCAATGCTAGTAGACGTTCTGGAGCAAGACGAGCACGGGCTTCCCATCAAGGAGTCTGCCAAGGTGAGTTTATTGAGACATTTCTTTGAAGGAACGCAACGATGCCGACGCAGAGAATAATATCACGCGCAATCGCAYCCGCACTTGGAATGGCATGCTAGCTTTTTTTCACATTACTGACACGAAGTCGATTCTATCAATGGTGTGAATGATTGCCACTTTCCCCATTTTTTCAAACCAATGGAAAGACCAAAAAGGGTGGCCTGTCACGCGACGAAGAAGTCATCGAATACATTGGTTTGTCATTCCCTCCAAATCGATCATCGACTTCATCGTGGTTGAGCAGAAGCAGCAGCGGTGGCAACAAACCGTCTCTCCCCCGGATCGTTTTGAAAAAGCTGAAAAAAGACGTTGAGGTTGACGAGCACAACACCGGTGCGACCCCGAAATTAGTAATCCCGAAATCCAGGCTGCGCGGTTCCAACGGAGGGGAGCAATTGGTAATCCGGACCGAGTGGAGCGACGTTCACGTGTATTCCCTGGCTCCATGGGTGCGACAATTGATCGTGGAGAGGGCCAAGAATTTCAAAAGCTTTTCCTCCATCCAGGAAGGACTAGTCCCTCTATTGATATCGAGACAATATCGCGGGAAACAAGCTACCTTTGGCAAGTCGGTTCTAGCATCGCTGCAAACGAAACAGAGTGGTGACGACAATGGCGGAGTCATGGCGAGCAGCGAGAGCGATTCCGAAGATCCGGCTACCACCAGCGCTGCCGGTGCCGAAAACATTGCTGCCAACAAGGGCAGCGGCTCGGCGGAATCGACGTCGTCCACCACGAACAACGAAGACAGCGARAACGGAGAGAATTCGAACAAAGCAGCAAAATCATCAGGGCTCCCGAAAGCTGCTATGGACAACGAACCATATTCCGTCCTGGCGGTCGTCCTCCCG